AGAAATGAACTTATATCCAAAGATATACTACTTCCTTGATTTAAAAAATCACATCATATGGTAATCTGAAATACTACAAAATACATTGCAACTAACATATTTTGCCATATTTTTACAGAAACCTGTTAAAACAACAACAACAAATAAACTACCAAGTAAAGCCTTCCTTTGCTACACAAAATAATTTCCTGCTTTTCACAATTAAAGGAGACAGGCTTCAAAACCAAGAAAATGCCTATATTAGAAGACATTAACACAAATGCTATATTCTGATTAACACTTTAAATTTAACAAATGAACTCTTGAATTTTCTGTTTCTGAGCTGTCTTTTAGCTAAGAACATACAATGACTAAAAATGCATCTCCTGAGTAAGAAGGGATGGACAAATGCATTAATAACCTCCCCCTCCCTTTTTATTAAAAATATTTTATTGGGGAATTGGGGTAGGGAAACAGTATTGGGGAATGGGGAAGGAGAACAGACAACTTGCTGTCCTTTTGTTCTTCAGTCTAGTCGTGGAGGACGTCGCTTCATTGGTCCATATTGGTATAATCATTGCGCTCTTCCTGGTGAGGCAGTCACTTGCCGGCCATTAAATGGCTGCTCACAGCTGCTCAAAAAAACGCACGCCAGCTGCGGGCCAGCCCCACTGCAGCCTAGGGTCGCCGAAGACTCACTGCAGCCCAGCTCCAGGTTGAGCTGTTGTTCACCATCTTAGCTGTAGAGGGCAGTGTCCCTGGGCCCCATGTGGGATCCGTACCAGGGCCCTGCTGCTCAGAGCTGGCGTCCCAAGCCAACTCTTAAACAACGCGCCACTGGGCCGGCCCACCTCGCCCTCCCTTTTAATGGCTGAAGAAAGAAAAAAAAATGTACGTGCAGATGTGGCCAGACCTGGCTGTTTTCCAGCCCAAGTGACTTGTACACTGGCCTTGCACTGTGAGCTTCACTATGCCCCTCTAGGATATAGATAGTGTCTTTCCCAACCCTGCAGGTTGAGAGATAAATAATTGGTTATTGAGCCAAACCCTTCAGCAGTAATCAGGATGTAATTCACCCTTTACCATACTATTCAAGATCATCAGATACTTAAATTCATACGTGGTTGCTTGATGACCCCTTTCCCATAGACCAGCTGCACACTCTCCCCACTCCACTACTGTTATCACTGCATGCTTGTACCTAACAAGCTGAAACTAAAAGGTCACAAGAAGTCTTTTACTGGGGCCGGCCGAGTGGTGCGTTGGTTAAGAACTGGCTCTGAGCAGCAGGGCCCCGATTCGGATCCCACATGGGGGCCAGTGACACTGCCCTCTACAGCTAAGATGGTGAACAACAGCTCCACCTGGAGCTGGGATGCTGTGAGTCACCGGCAACAGGGGTAGGCTGTAGCCCCTGCTGTAATGGGCTGCCATAAGCTACCATGTGTGGCTGGCAGCCAGTGTGAGCTGCCAAGAGCCGCCATGAGCGGCCGTCTAGAGGCTGGCGACCCATCTGCCTCAGCCAGGAAGAACGCAATGGTAACACCAATATGGGCCAGTGAAGCGACGTCCTCCACGACTAGACTGAAGAACAAAATGACAGCAACTTGTCTGTTCCCCTTCCCCGGATTCCCCAGTGCTGTTCCCCTCCCCCAATTCCCCAATAAAAAAGTATTTAAAAAGTCTGTTACTGTCAAACTCCAGTACTGATTAAGAGTTTATTGAAGTTCTATCCTATTTTTAAAGAATTGGATTGACTTTAAATGTTCAAGTGAATAAATGTGTCAGAAGAGAACAGGAGAACCTTTCTGTGAAGATGCAAATGTCATTACATAGGATGCAGTTTGCAAAAGAGTCCCGGGGTGCCTGGTTTCTTATTTTTTATGAAACGTGGATGATCAAATCCCAGGTATACAGTCATCATCTTACATTTGCATGCATAAACATGCTCTTTGGAAGTGGTAAACAAGTCTCTTCCTGACACAAAGAAAGTGTCTTTATCCATTTTAAAGGAAAGTATAACCGAGCCCAGGGAGATATTCCAGGAAACACTGGAATAAATTATTTGAGCCCAATATTTTGAGGTTTCTCATCCTTGGGAGTCAAGTTCCCCTTCATACTTTGCTGGTGGCACCTGAAGCCCTTAGGCTATGTTGGCTGATTAAGTCATGTGAGTAAGAGGCTGTGTGTGAGAATATTGGGCTCCAGTAGAGGCAGGGTTTGAAGACCCAGGATTACTCTTATCATTGATGGTGGGCATCTGGGAGCCTCCTGCCCACCACTTGCCTTCCCACCTGGATAGAAAGGACAGACCAGCACACTGCCCACCCACTTTGAGACCCAGACTACAGAACTACCTCTTGCCCCAACCCCCAAGAAAGCTTGAGTTCCTCTAGCTTCATTAGGGCAAAACTGGTAGTTGCTATGGGCTTACAGCAAAGTGGTCCAGAGGCCCCAGAATCACCCTGAACTACTCCATCCTATACTATAACTACTAGCCACCTGAGATGTGCTTAGAACACACTAGATGTGCTGCAAGCAAAAACTACATGCCAGGCTTTGAAGACTTAGCATGAAAAAAGAAGTCATTTCTCCAGTACACTTACTGGAAAACAAAAGACCCAGATACACTTTTCTGAATCTAGTTAAATAATATTTGCACTTTTGTTGAAAAAGTGACCCCTCATAGGCAACTATTTTGCATGTCTTTGAGTTTCACAATTTAATGTAAAGCAGTAACTTTGTGTATCCATCCTCCTCACTATCTTGAGCCCCTTTCCAGCCAACCCTCAACCCCACTCCATCCCTGCTCCCTGTCAGACTCTAAAGTGTCACTCATTTTTTTTAATGTTTCCAACTATTTCTAACACAAACAGTGGAGGCTGTGACTGGCTGGGTAGTCACTTAGTTGGATGCAACAGTATCTCCCAATCTGAGCTGCCTGAGCCGCCATTGGCGGCAGGTCCGCTCCCTAAGAGGCCCCGCGCTTGCCAATCTCTGCGCTCTGCCAGGCCCTGGAATCAGGGAGTTGAGGACTGATGGTGCGCACATGTCCATTGGGAGGGAGGAGACCGCAGAGGGAAGGAGGACTAGACTCCAAAGGACTTTGGCTTCAGTTTGATCTTCCTTTCCTTTCATCCTATTCAAAGAAAAATATATACGTATATATAAAAATTATATACACACATTTTTTTCTTTGAATATTGATCCAGAAATTGTTTTTCTGATTTGGGTTTTGTTTCCGCTTTCCCTCCTTCGCCTGTCCTCTGAGCCCTCCCTCCTCCTCCCTCCCTAACCCAGCTCAGGTTGAAAATTTGCAGTGCACATTCCCTTCTCCCCCTCCAGGGATGGCTCTGAGCTCTCGGGCACACGCCTTCTCGGTGGAAGCCTTGGTGGGGAGACCCAGCAAAAGAAAACTGCAGGAACCACGAGTGGAGGCTCAGCCTGAACTGCTAGAGAAAGAGGGCGGAGAGGAGGAAAAGAGAGGGATCGGTGCCGCAGGGGGAAAGAACGAGCCGGGTAAGTACCCCAAACCGCGCCCCAAAGCCCTGAGCCTGTTACCCGCTCTTGCTGGATCTGCAAGTCCCAGCCTGGTCTGCGAAGCTGCAGGAGGGCGGCTAGTCCTACTGCCGTTGGATGTCCTGGCCCAGCCGATGGCCGCTTTTGGGGCCGCAGGACACCTTGGCCACCTGGCTGTTAGGGAAGTTTCAGAGCCTCCAAGATCAGCCAGTAATTTTGTGGTTCATTTACGGTGAAGGGGAAGGTCCCCACATGTTTGTGGAGAAATGAAACTCTCCAACCTCCCCGAATCCCTGAGAGCCAGAGTGTGGCTTTTTCTCAGGGTAGGGAGCAGGGCACACACCCAGATTTCGAGGGAATTCAGCCTCCGGGACCTAAAATCTCCGATATAGTGAGGATGGGCAAATTTGAAGAAGGACCGTGCCTTTCACAGGGTGCGACGTGGGCTCCTTGCTCGCCATTAGGGGGCTACAGTGGGTGTTGTGGGGAACTTGGGGATCCGCCGCCAAGGTCCCCGGGGAAGAGACAAGGAGGGTCTGCTCTGAGACAGGCGTCAGTGAGAAGGGGACGTGCGAACGGCGAAGCTCTCTCAAACTCTCGGCGTCTCTGTATCCAGCAGAAAAGCGACCCAAGAAAGAGCCCTCGGCAACTGCTTTCTCAGGCTGCGGCAGCGGCGGATACAGCAGTGAAAGTCTGGGAGAGAACGATGTTATCCAAGTGGAGCTTCAAGGATCCGAGCTGTGGAAGAGATTCCATGACATTGGGACTGAAATGATTATTACCAAGGCCGGCAGGTTCGGCTCTACCCAAGCTGTTCCAGGGCCACACACAGTAGGCGCTTAATGTACCTCTCTCATAAGATGTGGTGCCTCCAGTTTTACGCTCTAGCACCCATCCCCCCCACGTCCCCACCCCCGACAGGAATTAGAGAGCCACTGCCTCTCAATGGACCAGACTAGGACAGTGCCTGGCCCACGTCAGTGGCTCGACATTTCTTTCCTGTACACTGTGACTCCAGGAACTCATTCTCCCAGCTCTTACCTGTGTGATGCATGACAAAAATTAGACCTGCTAAAGCAGGTGCCAGATGCCATCCCCACATCTTAAGCTACGGCGAGGCCTCCCCATTAAATCCTCACAGTTCTCAGTGGGAGATATTCCATTTAGCAGCCTGTACATCCCACCTAGTCCAGGCTAGTTTGAGGTGGCCCTTTCCCGCTTTGACCTTTTGTTGTGGAGCAACTTCTTTGGGGCAGCTGGGTTATTTTTTGTGTGAATCTTCCTAATTGTAGTCTTTTCCAAATCTGCCTCACAGAAAGTATCGCTGAAAACTTGGGGGAAGGGGCACAGCTTTTCCTCGCTTGCTCTTACATAGCTTTTTATTATGATGGTAGAGGGGAGTGGGGTGGACAAAGCCTTGTGGTAAGGATATTCTGCTCTAATGAAAAATCTTGAATTTGCTCAATCACGAATACAACCAACAGTCTGTTTTGATGTAGCAAATGACATTCCCTAAACCTGTTCTAGAATGAGAAGGGTATTGTGAATATCTTCAGTTCTCATTTGTCCCCATCCCTGCCCCACTCCAAATGTCTCTAAAAGCGCTCAGGTTAGTCGCTATTTTCTCTTCCACAGGCGGATGTTCCCCTCTGTTCGGGTCAAGGTGAAAGGGCTGGACCCGGGGAAGCAGTACTATGTAGCCATCGATGTGGTGCCGGTGGATTCCAAACGCTATAGGTAACTGGCCCAAAGAAGGATACCCCAGGCCCAGGCTGGGAATGGGGATCCTGTTCTTCAAAACCTGAGAGTGCTATTTTGAAAACTCTACCATGGGGAGCAGGGGTGGGGGGAGTAAGTAGGGGATAGGGGTGGGAGGCTTGGAAGTTAAATTTTTTTGCTCAAACTGGGTTTCAGACTGAGAGAAGAGCAAGTTTTCTCCTTTTTCCTCTCATTCCTGGAAGCCCGTGCCAATTTGTGCTTCAATATCGCCCAAACCCTTCACCTATCCCCTCTTCTGGCTTTGGCTGTGCAAACTACAGAAGGTGTGGGCTCAGGCGGCTAAGAAGGAAGCTGTGTGAAGGAATTTGGGGAGAAATGCCTGGACTTCTGGGTCCATTTTGAGCTCAGGGTTGCGCTACTTTGGCGTCAGGGTCCTGGAGCGACACCCTGATTTGCCATCCAAGGCTAGTCTAGCAGTTATCAGCAACTAGGTCCATTTCTTCTTCCTCAGCCTCTTTCCTGAGGCAGGGGTCAGGTCCCAGAGAGTACAAGAAACCTTTCCTCTTGATGTAAGCTCTCTACTTAGAGCTGGCTAAACCTGCTGAATTGATCTAAAACCAAGAGGCCCTTCTGTGTTGATACCCAGAAGTGCTGGTCTGACAGCCCTTTGGCTCAGGGGCTACGGGGCTTGTGCAAAAGACGCGGAAACTCGGGCTGTGAGATGTGAGCGACAGAAGGTGGCACCGGTGTTGAGCCTTTCAGGAGACAGCCTGCCTCATGCCCAGGGCTGAGTTTGAGGGCCAAGGAGAAGGTGCAATTCAAAAGCCTGCTGGAGCAAAAGCCTGAAAATAGTAGACCAAGCTGTTTGCTTCTCGCTTTCGAACCATCTTGGGAATGCTGCGCGCAAATGAGCAGTTGTAATTGGAAACAGTGTGAAAATAAACCCAGAGACCGCATGGGGCAGAGTTCGTGGGAATGTTCTGATGTGAAGCCTTGTTGGCTAAAGGACTTCTACGACGACTGGTGGTGGTGGACTGGACAGACACCCTCCTCACCCTTCTGCTTCTTCCCTGGCACTTCTGGCCCAATGCATGAGGATTTTTCTGGCGTCTCTGCGCAGTACAACGGGTTATATCAATTTATGTTGCGGTTTCTGTGAGGAAATACAAACCAGACTTTGAAATCATATGACATTGTACTTGTCCTGGCACTTCATTGCATTTTAATGGCGTATGCTTATTTACAGTTTGCTTTCTGTCCCTGAATGCTCTTTGGAAATCAAGTTAGATCTTCTACTAGTTGCCTTTGGAATTAGCTGGCTAACCTCGACTGAGGCACTTAGGACCAGATCCCAGCAGCCTTCCTCCCATGCTCCTGGTTTTGGCTGGCTGCATAAAGCTACACTCTGCACCTTTTCAGGTATGTGTACCACAGCTCTCAGTGGATGGTAGCTGGGAATACAGACCACTCATGCATCACTCCCAGGTTCTATGTTCACCCTGACTCGCCCTGCTCTGGAGAGACCTGGATGAGGCAGATCATCAGCTTTGATCGCGTGAAACTCACCAACAATGAAATGGATGACAAAGGCCATGTAAGAGTGCGCAATTATTTGCCCCTAGAAAGGGAGGGAAATACTAAAACTTCAGCCCACAGGTCGCCCTGGAGATGCCAAGGAGGCTTCTCCCAGGTGAGCTAGTTGTAGTCTTTAAGAAGTGTTCAAGTTCTGGGCCTGTGATCAAAGTTACTCCTGTGGCCTTTGTTAGAAGGCTGAGAGTGCTGGGGGTTGGGGATGGTGAGCTAAGGCAGTGTGAGGACCAAATGACACTTGTTTAAGCCAGGATGCCTGGAAGCGAATGTTTCAAAGAGCTCTATAGCCCTCAGCCTACCAGACAATCTTTATGGGCTCTGATTGCCTTCCCACAGATGAACACCTTCTGTGTGGCATAGTGTATTGGAAATCTCTCTAATCTGCTCCCCATGGTCTTTTCAGGTCACTTTGATCTTGAGTCTTCTGCTGCCCAGGTGCACCCCTGTCCTTGCCCTGCCCAGCCTAGCCCTGTGCCAGCCACACAAGGAGATAAGCAGTCTCCAGAAATTAGGAGGCAGGGGATATCAGGTGGTTGCCCATTGGTTAACATAAGCCTAGGGAACTTATTGCAGGTAGTTAGATCCCAGTGACACTTGGGGACATCACATTGTCATCCACATTTGGAGATAGAAAAGGGCCCCATCTGGAAGTGGAATCACTGCTGCCTGGTGCCGCTGTGGTGCCCTACTCTGGAAATGCCTTAGCCCTGAGGGCCTCTGTCTGGGGCAAAATGGCACAGAAAAGTCCTTGTGTGTGGCTAGCTTAGCCTTTCTGGTTGAGCTTCACTAATGTGTGTGGGCAGGTGGGGGGTGCTGGTGAGAGGGGGAGAGTATTGGGGAAGGGGAAGCCAATTTCTAGGCAGCATTTGACAATTTCTCCTTCAGATCATTCTGCAGTCCATGCATAAGTACAAGCCCCGTGTGCACGTGATGGAGCAAGACAGCAGGGTTGACCTGTCCTGGATTCAGTCTCTGCCTGCTGAAGGGGTTAAAACGTTCTCCTTTAAAGAAACTGAGTTCACCACAGTAACAGCTTATCAAAACCAGCAGGTAAAGCTAACTAGGTCCCAGGCCAGCAAGGATGGCCCCAGAGGGACTTACAGGATAGAGGCAAGCTGCACTTAATGGATTGAATTTCCCTTGATTAAAAAAAAAAGGTCCTATTGCATTGTCATCAAGGCAAGTTTGATTATAAATTGTGTTGATCTTATGTTCAAAAAATAAAATTAAAAAAGAGCAAAACAATGTGCCAGGAGAGAAATAAGATAACCATTCCAAAGTTGACTTAGAAATATGCTTACATTTATTTACCATGCCATATTACACGTTGAAAAGTTTTGTGGTTGTTGTAACCATTAAAAGAAATGGTGACAGTTATTACCAAGGACACTGACTTTATCTTTCTCTCTCTTTTGAATTCATAGATTACCAAATTGAAAATAGACAGGAATCCTTTTGCTAAAGGATTTAGAGATCCTGGGAGAAACAGGTAAGCAACATAACAACCATTTCTAATATTCATATAGCCTTTTTCGCAAGTATTACAGACAAGGAAACTGTGGCTCAAAGACTCAGAAGCCCTACATTTTGCCACTAGTAAACATTCTGTCTCTAAAATCTTGCCCCTTCCCAATCCCTTCCCAACCCACTTTTAAGATATTGTTTATTCTATTTTCCTGGGGTTTCTACTCAGGAAATAATTACTCAGGATTTAATTCACAAGTCTAGCTATAAAAGAAAAATATTTCAGATACTCACCCCTAAAAACCATAACAATATAACTCCAAAATTGACATAAATCATTATTTTCAGGAATTGCATTCTGGACTTGCTGAAGGTGAATCTCTTTTTCAGGGGTGTATTGGAAGGGCTTTTAGAGACCTACCCATGGAGGCCTTCTCTCACGCTGGATTTTAAAACTTTTGGTGCAGACACACAAAGTAAGAAAAGTTTTATTAATTTTTATTTTAAATGTTAATAAAATAGCTACAGACAGAGCCTTTGTACCAAATACTACACAAGGGTTAAGCGTGTGCCAGAAAATATGTTTAGAAGAGGGTGGGTATATATTTATCTTGATTAGGAGGTTAGAAGCAAAAAGGGAGGGGAACTGTCATGAAGGAAAAGAGCAGAGACATGGTAATGGTGGATTTATTGACTTCTGTTTTTTTTTAATTATCATAATCCTGAGATCTCCAGCTCTCACCTGGATTCTTTAGCATCTCACTATTCATAGTCTTTAGCATCTGCCTGTGGTGCATTTGTGTACTTATTTGCAACTATGTTATATATTGAAATAAATATTTTGTGTTTTATGACAAATATTCAGCATGTGCTAAAATGACTTCCATTAAATTAAATTAATTTAATTTTCTAGCATCACTTAGTTCTAATTTTCCATTCATTGTGAGTAAAGAAACTAAATGCTGAAAACAATACTAAGCCATCATGATTAACTACCACAGCATTTAAAATATTTGCAAAGTATTTGTTCTCAGGTAGGGCATTACATGACTAAATAATAATCATAATTAGACAATGCAGGCTCTCTTGTGGAAGAATGTATACCTTCATTTACTCTGATATTTAACAATATAAAGAAGAGTTTTATTTATTAGCAAAATGGAATTATTTTACTCTTTTGTCTTCATTAAAGTCTTTGTCTTTGAACATTAATTCAAGGTTACAATTAACTTGAGAAAATCATCAACATTGTAGTTAGGTTGAGTTTTACATGATACCATAACAGCCAATTGAAATGTGAAGAGATGAAGTATAATCATTCAGTAACATATTTCACTGAATTTACTATATTAATTTGGTCTGGAAAATTGCATAGAAATATATGAACACTTATTTTATAGTATCACTTTAACTAACAGCATCTAGGCAGCATGTTTTTCAAACATCCAAGTCAACACAAAGCACACTAATAAAGAAAACAAGCTAAAGATGGTCATTAATTGATGATTTAAAATACATAGTTTTCTTAATTATTTAAGATGTCAAGAATGCTCTCAAATTGCAAAGAAAATGAGTACCAATTTTTAAAAAATAATTGTGAATGTTTGATTATAAAAGATATTTGCCATCCTGTTTATAAAGGATTAGGCTACGTCCTTATACACAAAATAGAAAAGAAAGAGCAACACAAAAACAAACAACCAAACAAAACAACCAAACAAACAAAAAACACAATGTTGATCAAGTTCAGTCAATAACTCGTCTTTTTAATTCAAATACGTAAAAAAATTAGGTGTAGAGTCTAGATTTTTGTGGACCTTATACTTATCCCTAATATTAGCAGATGCTAGGCAGCTATAAAAGATCACCTGACAACATTGATAAGAACTCTTTCATTTTCATCTTGATATTTTTTAACCTGCAAAATTGCCTTTAACTCTTGATATAGGGCACCATAGAATTCTCCTTTCTCATGTAAGAAAAAAATCTAAGACATTTAAATATATGTTAATTTATAAAGATTACTTTCATGTGCACTTATTTTTTATCAGACTAAAGCTTTCTACAGAATTCCAAACAACCAATTTGTTGAATTTAATAAAAAACTTTAGTAAATTTTTAAAGTTAAAAAAAACCTTTTTTTTATTTGTAATATATAATTGGCCTTGCCTCATATTTATTTGGGCCTTTTTTCTTATTTTTTGTAATTCATTGGATAAATGTTGTGCACGTGCCTAGCACAGTTCTTGAGCATAGTGAATGCCCAATACATGATGCATAATAATAGTGCTAAAAATAATAATGGCAGTAGTAGAGATATCACATTCAAGTTTGGTCAGAGTGATAAGCATGTTTTTTTTTCCCCCCAATGAAGTTAAAAGAACTGTGAACATGCAAGGGAAGCTAATCTAAGAATGAAGCAAGGATAGTTATGGACATGATTACTGATTCAGTAGGAACATCAAGTTCATTGATCATTGACTGAATTGTCATTCACAGGTGGAAGCAGTGGCTCATCTCCAGTGACCTCTAGTGGAGGGGCTCCCTCTCCTTTGAACTCCTTGCTTTCTCCACCTTGCTCCCCGCCTACATTTCACTTACCTACAAGCTCACTTGGAATGCCCTGTCCAGAAGTGTACCTGCACAATATCAACCTGCCCCTTTGCTACAAGATTTGTCCAACTAATTTTTGGCGACAGCAGCCTCTTGCCTTGCCTGCTCCTGAAAGGCTATCAAACAGCAGCAGTTCTCAGTCATTAAGCCCACTCATGATGGAAGTTCCCATGTTATCTTCCCTGGGAGTCACCAATTCAAAAAATGATTCATCTACAGACTTCAGTGGGCAGTGTCTACAAGCACCTAATTCTTCCAGTCAAATGATGTATGGATTACAGGCACCTGGAAATATTTTATCACCAAACCCCATTGCCCAGGAAGCAATTGGTTGCTCTTTCCATCCTTCCTTTGGCTTTTATAGGTACAGCTTCTCTTTGCCATCTAGACTGGTAAATGCTTCCAACCATCTCAAAGTGAATGACAACAGTCACGTCTCTTTTAGAGAAGGCAAATGCAATCATGCTAACTGGTACCCAACAATTAATCATTGTCTTTAATGAAATAGTCACATTCCTAAAACAATTACATGTAAACACATAATTTCTTTATTTGTAGACAAAGAAAGGTCAAGAGCTATTTGGCTTACAGAGAGCTTCATTATAAGAGGGTATTTCTCTGTTATACATTTAAAGTGCCTTATCAAATGTTCATGAGAAGTTATAGTCATTTTTTACCTATAATAAATATGACATAACAATCTCTGATTAAAGTGGCCTTTGGCCTCAAAGTAAGATACTCAATAAATGTCATTTGATGACACAGACTACCAGTGAAAATTGACTCCAGGTGACGAAGTCTCTAATTATAGTGAAGCCAGTGTACCATGTCAGCTGCCTCTTACATATTGACAATGACCAAAAGCAGATGGATTTAATTCCTGTGAAAGCAGTGAAACAATTTTAGTTTTATCTATGAATATTGGCTTCATTGTAATTATCTATCTAGTAGTTGTAGAAAAAATTACATTTTTCAATCGCCTTCTACTTTTATACTCTGCATTTGAAAGAGCTACTAATCTCAATTTTAAGGTACAAATAAGAACACAAACTTTCAAATATTAATCTTTACATCCTAAAGACCATTTAATCCTGAAGGAAAATGAAGATTAAATGAAAAGCCAAATATTCTAAATAAATTTGATCTTTTATTTCCTTTTACTTTTGAATCATTCCTAGGTAAAGCTTGTTTATTTACTCCTTTAACAAACCTGGTATTTTATACACAGTTCACAAAAACAAATTATTGTAGTTCTCCAAAATGACTATGAAATTGGGATTTGAAAGGGGAGAATATATTTGAGTCCATAAATATGAAAATATCATTACATTGGTACAATTTAATTCTACTCCTGTGCAATGATCACAGTATATTAGGTCAGGCAAAAGTAGCATAAATGAGACTTTTTTTAGTTTATGAAGTTGAAAAGTTTCCTTTCACCTGATCCTACATTTTCTGAAAAAAAAATATATAAATTTTTATGTAACCTGTATATCTTTAAGATGAATCAGATTATTCTTATGCTACTACCTCTACCATATATTAAGCCAAGTTGCTTCATATCACAATAGCATGACTTAACTTTTGACAAACTTAACCAAACTGTTAAACTGCTTTTTAAAAATGTTTCCAATGCAAATTAAGAAGAACATATGCTTATTATTTATTTTGCTCAAAATGGCCATCTTCTCTTAAATATGCCTTATTATAAATAGGCCTTCCAATATAAGCATTAAAATTATATGCCACTTCACTTCTGGGAGTAAGGATGGAACAGTACATGGTTACACTCAAACTGAGTATTCTAGTCAAGGTGAAATATTATTTATGGCCCAAACTAATTAGGTATCTGTCAAAAAAGTCTTTGAGGCAGAACACCTGTACTACCCAGGTTTATCAAATCAGGGATTAAAGTAGCAAGTACATTTTATTACTGTCTACTCCAAAGCAGGAAAGCTGTAGGCTAACTTTTACTGCTAAAATAAATTTTTGTTTTAAGCAGAAACTCCCATAGCAGATGATAATGAATCTTATTCTGATGGTTTACATGGCAGATACTTAGTAATTAATGACAGAAATATTTAACTGAAAAATACAGAAAATCCCTGGGTTACTTTTTAATGATTATTTAAGAGAAGGCATTAATTTTGTAGCTGCTTGAGTATGTGTACCCCATGCTTTATAGTTCAGATCATTGTGGTATATATTACCCATATAAAATTGATAATGTAGAACTATATTGGTAAGGGTGATTAATATAAAGGAGCAAAAGTTAAGATGCTAGAATCTAGACATTTATTTTAAGTTGTTTTTATATAATGTTCATAAATTGTGATTTCATACTTTTAATTGAAGAAATAACTAAGGGAAAGCCTTCATAGAAAATTAGACTTGGGAGAGACCTCAAGAAGTCCAGTAAGCAGTCCCCTACTTTGTGAGCAAGTTACTCATCTGCAGGAAGCTGCTAATAGCTCTAATTCATATACAATTAATATTTACAATGTTTCCCTGAAAATAAGATCTAACCAGAAAATAAACCCTAGCATGATTTTTCTGGATGCTCGTAACATAAGCCCTACCCCAAACATAAGGCTCAGTTAAGACTGTCAGCCAGATATGACTGTTTGAATAAATGTAGATTTTTGTACATGAATAAATGAATGTAGATTGTTGGAGCAAAAATTAATATAAGACCTGGTCTTATTTTCAGGGAAGCACAGTATTATCTTTACTATTTTATATTGAATAAATCCTTACTCCCTAGGATTGTGCAAAAATTTGGTAACTTGGTAAATTGAAGCTATAGTTATGGAATTAAAAGCAAAATGCTATGGAATTCTATTAATTTTGATTCCACAACTGAATATTAGGCTTGCTTTTACAACCAACAAAAACCAAAAGCCACTCTAGTTGACAAGGTATGAGATAGTTAGCAAATGAAAGTTGCCAAATGATACTTAATAGAGCTCCAAGTCTAATTAATTTAAATTGCTATCTCCATTTGGTGTGACTATATATATACATCTTTCCATCCTCCCTTTGAAAATAAAAGAACTTAATTAAGCTGATTAGATTTATAAAATCTGATGCTTAACCTTACCTTATTATATGACTTACCAAAAATAAATATAGAGAAAATAAACATTTCATCAACTGTGTAACATGTGTATACTGAGTCGGGAAATAAGTGAATGTACTTTATCTTTACACAACCTCAGTCAAGCTCAGACCTGTAGTCTGATTCTTTTGTCAGGAAGGTTCTACTTTGTGGAACAGTCAGTCAAACTGAAATCAAGGACTTGATTTTAAGTATGAGCCTGGTTGCAGAGCACATGTCTAAGTGGATAAATACCCATTACATCTTAACAACCAAAATGCTTTTAGCTAACATAACTTAGAACTTCAAAACTATTATTACTTTTCATTAAACAGAGGGGCTAAGCCCTGTGGACATTACATTTGAAAGTCTAATATATAACTTTATATTACATAATATTAGAGTCTTCAAACTTTAATATCATTGCTCCAATTCACTATACTACAAAGATGGAGACTGATATTTTCTCCAAATTATAAAGGTAAATATTCATGATATTTCACTGCTATTAGGCATGGGTTCTACCTATGATCTGGGAATAAACATGCCTTCATTCTTTTTTAGTGAGTTTGGAGCATGTCTATGACATGAAAACTGATAAACAACTAGAATCAGCAAGTAATGAGTCCGTGAATCAGTTTTTGAATAATCAGAGTCCTATGTGCTTACAATTTGACAATGTGCCAACAAAAAATAAAGACAAGGTCTGTATTGGACATTATGGAAGATTTACCTTTCTTTCTCCTAATCATCTATATTATGCACCTTGGGGAAAATCACCATGCACATAAAACAGGTGTATGTCTTTTAAGTGTTACTGGTATAATACTAAGCCCAGAACATGGCTGCAATAAATGTTTTGTATAAATATTTAAACTATATTTTACAAAAATCTACAAACATGCTGATGACAAATTTAGATACTTTGAAACGATAGTGTTAGATGTCCATATATACAGTGTAATACATAGTTGTTATCTCCCTACTAAATCTCAATAACAAATATTTCCTCATCTGAATATGCAATTTGATAAATTCTAGATGTCACACTGTAATTTATATAACCAGTGTGGTTTTAGTTTAGTTTTGTTATAAAATAATTTATACTATGTTGTTCTTTCCCCCTCCACTGCTCAAAAAGAACACCTATTCATTGCATACTTATATTATTAAAGATATATACTTATGAAAGGCAGATTTAAATATAACTGTAATTGTCTAATTGTATGAGCTGTATTTTGTGAATTGACTTGACAGGATAGAAATACAATGTTTTTACTCCAATTTAGAGATATATTGCCTTTGTGATGAAAAATCTTTAATTACCCAAAATATTGGGCTGTTGGAAAAGTCATGACATATTTTTTCTGTTTTTCATTGCAAAAATGCGTCATGACATTTCCAACAACTCAATAACAATAATATCCTAGTATATAGCAATGGTTTAGCAGTTAGTTTCACTGGAATTTAACATGTTTATTGGAGCACCTTAAAACAAAGCAAATGCATAGCTTAGTCATTGGTGGCAATTGCTTTGATATAAGTGCCTTCGTATACATTTAATCTTCTTAGGTTTGGTCTGTGATTAAATGATAATTTGTATTAAAAGTGTGCAAATAAACATGGTTTGGATGACAACATAAAGCAGAGCAAAAGAGATATAGAACACTTGAAACATATCCAGTATTAAAATTATTTACATGTGTGGTGCTGGTCAACTTTTGACATGTTGTTTCAATAAAATATTGAGAGGAAAAAGACTAGTATCATTTCCTTTCAAATATCAAATGCTCATGTTTACAAATTTGTACTGAACATTAATATGTAAACATACATTATGGTGAGCAGATGTACTGAGACTAATTTTAGGATATTTCTACTTAGTTGAAATGTATATATATATATTGGACTTATTTTTTTTAAGTATCTGAAAGAGTAATAAAATTTTAAATTAAATATAATAGAAATCCTTGAAATTATAGTACAATAAGTTGTATCATAAAACCCTTTTTATCAAATTATCATGTATTTGTTATTGTTAGAGATGACAAAATTTTGATTTTGGACTTAAGATCACAAATTTATGCACATGATAATTAAAGTATAACGTGATATTTTAGCTGTAGAAAACTGTATACAGAATTCAAAATTTGGGCCGGCTGAGTGGCTCAGTTGGTTAAGAGCTCACTCAAGAGTGTGAGCTCTGAGTAACAGTGGTTTGATTCCCAGCCCAAGCTGAGCTGCTGCTGAGCTGCCAACAGGTGGCAGGATGGCTCAGGTAAAAAAAAATTTTTTTTTTAAAGGAATTCAAAATTTTACTAGAACAAGGGAGTAATAAAATCATGAATAACTATATTAAAATATTGGATTAAAATTAATATCTTTAAATTAAATATTTTTAAA